TAGATAATCTTTTAGTAGATTACTGATATAACAGTTAATATAGAATCTGTAAGCAAACTACTTTAATTGGTAACTAAAAGTTACATCTTAACTAATTGTGCACTTATCTTTATACAAGTTGTATATAATTTATAATTAAAATTATAATAAAGTAATAGCTATTATAAACATCAACCTTAGAAAAGCAACAAAAAAGATTTATTTTTTTATAAAAGAATAATATCAAATTGATACTGTTTAATTGTAAGGTAATAGACAGACCTGTAATTCAAATTTAATAAATCTGATGTAAAAAGTTGCTCTTAGATGCCATTAAATAATCAAAAAATGAAGCATTAAGTATTAGATATAATTATATTTGTAAATTATATCGAGTTTATAAATTATATCAAGTTTATAAATAAACTTTTAATAAATAATTGACATAACTCCAAAGTAAAAAAAAAAAAAAACATAAGATGTTCATAAATTTACTAAGGTAAAAAAAATACTAGATCATATAATCCAGGTTAAAAATATTAATATTTTAATAAAATTGAAGTTAAAGTTGAATAATGTTAAAATATATAAGCTAGGTAATAAATTCATAATATTCTAATTGAATTAAAATCGAAAAAATAAATATAAAACACTTAACTATTTTTATAAATTTATAGAGATAAGAAACACTATAATATGTAATCTGGTAACACTTGTATAATCTAAATAAAAGGTCATCATTTTGAAATTTGGTTTGTTACCAGCAATTTACTATCCGTAATATTTTTGCAAGAAATAGCACACCAGGGACGCTGTTTCGAGGGACGCAATTTAAAGAGAAATAATAATTTAAAAGAATACAAACGATAATCTTATTTCTAAAAACCTTTATCTAAATTACATTGTTATTAGATCTTTTTAAAGTTCTGTTTTTTTTTTAGTCTATCAATCATATAAAGTATGCGAAAAAAATATTCGAAATATAAATATATATTAATTTGAGAATAGCTAGCTCGTCCATTATCAGTGATTTTGAACAGCAAAGACCGTTAATGTTACACATATATTAAAACTAATGAGGTATTATATCCATCACAATTGAATCCAACATAAATAATTTAATTTGTGATTGAGAGGGATTCACTTTGGATCGGGCACTGTCTCTGTTGTAGTGATTTTGAGGATTCGTTTTAAGACCAAAAATCATCTAAAAACAGATCAATAATTCTTAAGATATACTAGTTTAAAACTTGAAGTAATAAAACCCGATTTTTTTATAAAGATTATTCCTAATTATTTATAATACAGTGTGTTAAATGAATGCAAGGATTCGAAGAATTCATTTAAATCCAAAATCATCAATGAAAGTTTCCCCACTTTTTTTTTTTTTTTAGATATAATAAATTCATTGTGAAAATTGAAAAAAAATGAATCAAAAGCTTATAATAGTAAATATCACAAAAATGAAAGAATTGTTCAAAATCGTAACATTTATTTTAAATTCAAAAATGATTGAAAATAGTTTAGTTATTTTATTCTCAAATTGTATACATAAAGAGTTTCGAATATTTATTTTTTATTTTTTTGTCATCCACTTTAAGTAAAGTTTCATTTAAATAAATGATTATCAAACTTCATTTTATTCATCAAAATTTGATGGAATTGTTTTTTGAATTTCGGTAACTGATACGTATTACATTATATTTGTAAATTTATATATTTCTACGTACGTATCCATTTTTTTTTTTTAGGAAATAATAAACAATATGCAAAATCTTGAAAGAAATTTTTTTCATGTATGTTGAATAAATAGTATATTGTATACGTAGTGAATAGTATAATCGTAGAAGAGAAAATAAAAGTGGTAATTAATTAAATGAATATCAAATTTGTATAATTCGAAAAAAAAAATGCAATCATGATTCTTAAAAAGATTCATAAAAGATTAGTATGCGTTCGTACGTACGTATGTATTTATGTATGTAATATTGATTCTTTTCGCATTACTGCATTATGACAGCATCAGCATATAGGTTAATATGGGGTCATGATGAAACACTCCTGAAAGATTCATGAAATATTCATGAAAGGTTCATGAAAGATCCATGAGACGTACGACCAACAATGGTCAGACAATGGACAACAAGTCAGGGGAAACACCAGCTTTTATGGATGATAGCATAGCAACCTAAATTTAATACATAAATCAAGAACTGCCAAGAATAACACAAGTACAAAAAGTTGAATTATCAAAAAATAAAGACAAATTGTGAATCCTTATTGTGTTGTATGATAGTATATAAATTGAGACATACAGTTTTAATACTATAATTAGATAAGATAAATATTTATCAGGAGTAAGTATAATTTTAAATCGACAATCGGAAGTTTTGGCCGACTAATTTGAAATATATATAAAAAATAAGGTTACTTAAAAAAAAAACTTTATGAAGGAATTTTAGTATACAAAATTACAAAGTTATATTACCATAGAAAGATATAAGAAATCGGATTCTACCGAAGACGATCTTTTAATTAATACAATTGTAAATTAAGACAGTTTTTATATAATTATTTGTAATACAGTGTGTCAGAATGAATATGAATTTCAGTTCAGTTATTTTCAAATACTTAATAATCGAATAATCTAGCAATACGTTACGTAACAACAAACAATAAACGATAAGGATAATAATAATATGAAAAATTTTAATCAAACGATATTGGGAATGTTTTGTTATTACTGGTTATAATTAAAATAATACGGTACGTAGTAAAAAAAAAAAAAAAAGAATTGTTTAGTAGACACGTGACAAGGGAATTCTATTTAGAAATGAAAAGATTAAAATTTACTTTCACCACATGAAACATCGGAAACGATAGTAATTATTTATCATGGAAATTCTTTTACCCAAAATGAAAATAAGGCATTTACATACAGTAAGCATACATAGGTACGTAAAAATATATACAGATATATACAGGTATGCATTTTATATATACGGGTATGCATTTTTATATATACGGGTTATACATTTTTATATATACAGGTATGCATTTTGTTATTTATTGCATATTTTTACATATTTTTACACATTTTATTTAAAATCTGCAAAGAAATAAAGAAAATACAAATAAAAAAGCAGATGCAATTTTAATTGAACAACAGTAACCTAATAAGTAGAAAAGAATTCTTAATTAATCACATGATCGCCAAAATACAGGGAATTTCAAGGGTAAACTAACGAAAATAAAGTAAATAGAATAAATTACATGATAAAAGTTACCAATAAAAAAAAGAGATAAAAAAGAGACAAGGACAAGTAGTACAAATCTAAACTTTGTACAACCAAATATTGTTTATCATTTGACAATGAAAACAAAAAAAGGCGGCAGATAGCATGAATTGTATTAACAGTTGGAGGAAATCAAGAAAAGTCATGAGAAAAAAAAAAAATTGTTAAATTGCGCAGAGCGACATTTTTATCTGCAGATGGAATTCAGATGCCAATAATAGAATGCAACATCATTGAAACCAAAAAGGAAGTTAATTGAAAATAACAATCAAGAAAAAAAAGAAAATAGCCACAGGAAAAAAATTTTTTTTGAAACAAAAAAAATCAGAAAACTCGAAGTAAACTAACTCAAATAGAGTGATAACGCAGAGGTAAAATGACAGCGCCTCATTTAGGAATTAGGCGTGTGAAGAAAGTTAGATAAGTGAGTTGCATGGGATATGATCGTGGCTTTTTAGTCACAAGGCACAAGGAAATATCTATTGGATAATCAAAAGCAAAAGTATTGTTGATTGTTTGGAAGGGGAGGACATAGCGCCTTATAGATGTAAAAGTCACACGACAGTACATCAAACAGGTATAAGGACAAGAAAATAACCTTGGTACGTAGTTTACATAACACAGAATTATCTTGCATCTTGAGCAGAGCAAAAAGCATATAGATGCACAAGAAAAAAAAAATATATATATATATTAAAATGAAATAAAATAAAATAAAATAAAAAAATAGTAACGATAATAAATTGTTTGTAAAAGGACAGAATTTCACAATACAAATAAACAACGATAGATGCATAAACATCATCGACCCCTTTATCTTACCTGATTGGTTCTATCCTTAAATAAACAAGTAATCTGATAAATAATTTCCTGGAATTTCAATCTTATGCATTTAAAAAGATTGGAGGAAGAAGCGTACGCACATACTCCGAAACAAGTATCATGATTTTTAAAGTATGATTGAAGTATGATCAAATGTATGTGTACATGCGTACTTGTGTACTATTAAAGTATCGGTATGTACTGTATTATGTACTATTATTAATTAATACTATTATTAAAAATTACTACGTACGTTGTATTTATATACTCTATATATAATATAATATATATATATGCTATACTATATATATATATATATAATATATGCTATACTATATATATATATAATATACACTATACATTATACATATTAAGATACTATGGTATATCATATCATATCGATAAATTGTAACTATCCCGATAAAAAAAGAAACAGGTTTTACAATAGTAAGAGAATCTTGCTTATTATTAACGCCCCATGTTTTCCATTTAGATTACCCTTCAATTCACATAATCATATTGATTGCATCGTTTCACGCGGATCAACAAATATATGCGCCGTGACTTTTGATGAAACTACCAATCGGAGTACGATTTATTTGTAATCATTTAAATGTGTGTCAAAAAATCTATTATCATTTGTTTTACATTACGGGGGGAAATTGCCAATGCACAAACACGTTGCTGCAATTGAACGTTAATCATCTTTACTTTCTCGTAATCAAGTTTATTCTTTATAAATAAAAAATTTTTTTTTATAAAAAGGCTTTATACGAGTTATGTTTCGTTAAAAACAATTCTATTTCAAGAATTATCAATCAAGAGAATAACTTTTTAATTAATTAACTAACTTTTAGAAGAGTTAGATTTTGAGAAGAATTAACTTTGAGAATATCTTTAAGAATGGGAGAGATAAATAATCAAAATAATAAAGTGTATGTATTTCTCTCCAACCAACCGTTAAATCTTTTTACCTATACTCAAAATTCATAAATTTTATAAAATTCATAAAATTCATAAAATTCATAAAATTCATAAAATTTAATAACTAAATTTATTGGTTTTTATTTTTGTTTCGTGTCGTGATTAGTCGTAAATCGCGAAAAAATAGTAAATCTGTTAACTCAAGTTCAAAAAGTAAAAAAAAATCATCATCACCAAAAGTGATCAATCCGACGATAACTCCTGTAACGGCTCTTGTCGAATCTCCAAAACCGATCACGCCAATTGAAGAAGATCCACCTACCGATTTACCAATTGATATACCAAATAATATATCAAATGATATATCAAATGATATATCAAATCATATATTAAATGATACATCAAATCATATATTAAATGATACATCAAATCATATATTAAATGATACATCAAATAATATATCAAATAATATATCAAATGATATACCAAACGAAGTACCTATTAAACCAATTGAACCAGTTTCATCACCAATTCTTACTACCCCAAAGACTCCTAAGACAACCCCTAAGGTCAACTTATCCCCAATAATTCCTCGACAGACAATCTCAAAATCAATAAATGATGGCCTTTTCCTTATTTCTAAGTCTATCAGCATGACTGACATGCCTGTGGAAATATTTAGTTATATATGTGCATATTTGCCACCAGATGATTTATTATCACTTGTTTTAGTTTGTCAAACATTCAGAAGATTATTATGCAATCCTACTTCACCTATAACTCAATCGATCTGGAGAACTTCTCGAGTAAATTTTTTACCTCATCTTCAATTACCACCACCATCTGGTATGGGTGAAAAAGAATACATTGTACTTCGTCAATTAAGAAAAGGTTGTCAATTTTGTCAAGAACGTGAAACTGGATTCGTCAAAGTTTATTGGCAATTCAGAGTAAGATGTTGTGAAATGTGTTTGGATGAACGAACAACAAGGTAAATTTTTTTTTTAATTTTTTTTCACGTGAATATTAGATTATATTACATGAAAATTGGATTATATTACATGAATATTGGATTATATTACATTATTACATGAATATTTTGGATTATTAAGTGAATATTAGATTATTATTTTTTGGTTGTACAGAATGTTGTTATACATATTGTTGTTATTTATCAGTTATTATGATACATACACATACATACATAATGTTGTTATACGTGAATGTTTTTATAAACAATGCATTTCTATTTTTCCCTTTAGACGTGACACACTTTATATTAATTGGTGTATTCCTGATGAAGTGCTTAGTATCCTACCTTACATTTTTCGTGGTGCATCACAAGTTTATTGGACAAAAGATGTTATTACTACCATGCAAGAATATTCTTCCATCAGTGATGATGATTTACTAAATTGGATTGATCAGCGTCGAACAATAGCAAATAACATAATGGATGTGGCTCCAGGTCATGAACGTGAAGAAAATGATGAATTACAATCAAGTATGTATGCATATCTGATGACGTTTGTGTTATTATTTACCTTATTTACGTTATACTAAATTTACTCATTTATACTTTTTACTATTATTATTTTTATTCTTTTAATTAATTATTATTTTTATTCTTTTAATTAATTATTATCTATTACTATTTACTTACCATCTATTACTATCCATTTTTATTATCCTTATTCCTTTTTTATTTTATCCTTATTTTATATAGATTTTATGTTTACAAATCAGATCGTTAATCCGTTATCCGTAAATCAAATATTTCTACCAAATTCGGTTCATCATTTACCCTCTCAACTGAATCAACTGAATCAACTAAATCAGTTAAATCAATTAAGTCAACTAAACCAGTTAAATCATCAACTAAATCAACTAAATCAATTAAATCAATTAAATCAACTAAATCAATTAAATCCACTAAATCGTTTTCAATATTTACTTCCTTCTCAATTTAACACTAATACTTTACCTTATAACCGTTCTCAATTCTTATTCACTTCTCCTCAACAACTTTATCCTCAATTTCTTTCACGTGTTAACCGTCAATCAATTCAATCAATTCCCCAAACTTACCCATTAGGCCTTATCCCACAACCTCGTCAGTTTTAAAATATCTTGCATTAATTTTCATGTTGATTTCCCAAAAATGTATATATCTCTGTGGACTTTCAACTTTAATAAAATCTGCCAATACATAATTTTGCACTCTTACTTTTTTTGTTATAATTAAAAAAAAATCTTTCCTTGAATGTATCTCGAATGTATCACGAATGCATCTCGAATGTTTCTCGAATGTTTCACGAATGTATCTCAAATGTATCTCGAATGAATCTCAAATACGTATATCTCTAATGCTATTCTGTTTTAAAAAAATCTCTATATGTAGAAATCTATTGTGCGTCAGTACTTGCCTAAATACTTCTTACTTTTTTTTACTTTTTGTACTCATCTTATCGTTTTATACAATTTTGTGTCTATGTACGTGCATGCTTGTAAAAAATTTTATACTTTATTTTTTGTGATAACCTTGTGATCATTGATCGTTTATCATTCTTCATTGACAGCATTCACAAATAATGTCAGGAGATTTATGACAAAGCTTCCCCCTTTTTTTGTCTTCTTATTTGTGAACTTGATTATGTAATCCTTTGCAAACTATCCTGTATGCGCTTAGAATTTTCCTCTTTTATATTAATAATTCTTTTTAAATCAATTTGTCAAAATTAATTAAAAACTCTTAAAATTAATCTATTTTCATTTCATGTTTACTATAATAATATTTGTATAAATGTATAATATCTGTAACTATAATCTCCGTAACTATAATATCTGTACTACAATATCTACACTACAACATCTGCACTACTACAATATCTGTACTATATAATACTTTATATTATTATTATACTATATATATAAAAAAAAAGAAGCTTTTTCCATAATAAATTTTTCATAAACAATTATGATACAAACAATACGACATCATAGATACGTAATTTGTAATTTGGTCTAGAATTACTCCTCTTCTTTCAAAATTAGTAATTAACTTGATGGTTTCGCGTGATTTTAAACCTAACAAATTTATTTACGTATGTACTGATTGTGTCAAATATCATACGTATCAAATAATCATATCAAAAAATAATCTTCAAATATCGTATCATCAAATATCGTATCATTTTTTGTTTTATTGTACAATAGCCTTTTACACACGTACGTATGTACGTACGTATGTATGTACGTATGTACGTACATACATACGTTCACACACACGTAAATACGTACTAGATTTTTATTCATGATCTAGATCTAATATTATCATCTACTTGTCCTGTCTTTGCTGTACTCTGTTCTGTATAAAAATTTTGATATCATTCTGTCATTCAAGTATGTACATTTATTACAGAATAGCGATAGATCAAAAATATATAGTAAACAAAATATGTAGGTACATACGTACACATTAATTTTTAATCAAAAAAAAAAAAACCAAGAATCGATTATTTGGTACGTGCTGTACGTACTGCACGTATGATAGGAGCTACCCCAGTGAGACCATGAAAGATCAACAATATGCACCAATCAGATGATCTAACACTAATTAAAATCTGAATTTTTTAAGGTAATGTTTGGGTTAGGGGTTGTGACCGAAAAATGGCTTATCTTGTACCAAAATTTTACCGCGAATCTTTTTTGTTAGTACGCAGAAAGCGGTTTCATTGAAAGTCGATTGTTAGAAGAGATCTGATTGGTGCACCTACATCGATCTTTCATGATCCTAGTGGGGGTAACTTACGATAGGATGGCATTCATATGTTCTTATATAATTGGATAATCAAAATATATGACCATTGACCAATCAAATTAAAAAGAATTCATTAAACGAGTGACTGCGAAAACTTATATACTATTCTTTATTAATTATATATTTAATTATTACTGCCTTTGCTACAAACGAATCACTACCTTTAAAATATATTATTAATCAAGCAAAACTATTTATATTTCTCTATTGTATATATTTGTATTCGTTATCTAGTATAACGTTTATTTTAAACTATTAAGATCTTTGTATTATTACTTTGATATATATGTTGTAGGTTGATTCCGAATCAACTTAAGTGCATTTCGAATCTCAAAATAAGTATCATTAAATATTCTATTTTACATCAAAATGATTTGTTTTATTCAATAATTTCTTGATTTTTTTACAAAATAAAGTAGACCAGTCAATGCTGTTGTAATTCATTTTCAAAATTTCAATACGCGTATAGCAATTCTCAACTTCTGTAGCTATATGTTTTTTTTAAAAAAAAATTATCAACTAATTTGTTAAAACTTATTTTTAAAAAAATATTCTTTGGCTAATATTTTATCTTAAAAACTTTTTTAAAATATAATTCTATATAATAATCGTAATTTTGATTATAAAAATTACCTTTTGACTTTTAACAAAAAAAAAGTTTTTGTGTAATTTTGATATATATAAACTATATTTCATTAATTTCAAACTTATTTTTTTTTTAACTATTTAATTTTTTATTTAAAAAAATTAGTTTGATGTCATGTTGCATAAAGTTGTAATTCAATAAATTATATTTGTATATAAACATTATATATAAATTAATAAAATTTTTTTTAATAATATGTATTTATAAAAGATTATTTTACTAGTTTTAAAAAAATTAATTCTTATTATATAATAATATATTAGTATTTAAAATTAATATGTAAAAAAATACAATATTTATTAAATATTTTTTTATAATTTAAAATTAAATAATTTATATATCTTGTATATATATCCTAAAATTATAAATACAATATATTATTAAAATTCTTAACCTTATTTTTTAAATTTTAATATATGTTATATCTGTTAGTTTTATTTTATTAATTAGACTATTTATACAATTACAAATAAAGCCAAAAAATATTATTACTAAATTTTTACATAACTTGTTTTAAAAAGTTTATAAACAAATATAAAACCATATTGTACAAAACTAGCATAATAAAAAAAATATAATAACATCCTACAACATATTAGAACTAAACAACAAAGATTTATATAAACTAACTATAATGATATATACTATATTAACAAACACCAATTATATAATACAACTTATAATTTATATAAATTATTAAGCTTAAAATATATTAATTCAAATACTTGCCTACTACTTAATTATGCTCTATATAAAATTAATATATAACTTAACTATTAGAATACTATATAGTTATTTTACAAACAATATTTTATACTAACAAATTTAATTAAGTTTTAACTACTTTAGTAAATTTAGATAATATTTAGTATTTTTATATAGTTTGAGCTTTACTTTTGTAATTTATATTTAAAAAAGCTTTTAAAGGTATTTTTAACAAATTAATAAAGATATAAGCAAAATCTTAACTTAATTTTAATATATATATAGTTATTTTTTTTTATATAAGCAGTTACACTAGTGCTTTATTAAAATTTTTGAAACTACTACTGTAATTACATAAATTTACCTAACAACTAAGCCTAGCATTACCTGGCTATCCTAATGATGCCTAAGTGCAACCTGTCACATTACTTCTAGCAGAAGTAAGCTGCTTGTCTAACTACTTAAAGTCCATAATAAAAGGGTCTTCCCTCTTTCATG